TGGAGTAGCGGCTTGTGGCCGGCGGCGGCGGGGCGATTTTCATCTCCAGCTTCGTACGCTTTGCCTGACGGATACAGCAATGTACATAAAGGGAGAAAGAGAGGGTGGCTTCAAACAGACGCGGGCGGTGATGCCACCGTCCTGTCTTACCCTACACCATAAGGGGAACAACAAAACGGTCACGTCGCGAACATACTTGTGTTGGTATTCTCAAGAACGGTGCTAGAAACGTTCCAAATAGAACATTGTACACAAGAGCACGCGAGTTGTACGCGCGCGCGCTTTTTTATCCCCACCAATGGTAGAGTTCAATCGGTGTCAAATGTATGCGACAAAGGTTGCGCCAGAGGCGTGTGCCTCGTTTGTGGGTGACCTTGACACTTTTGACACTTTCATACGTCATCACAGACATGCGCGTCCCCCTTTCGAGTTTGAAGCACCTTTCTAACTCCTGCCTTTTTTCCCATACCCTTCCTCGCCGAACCGAATCAAAGATGTGGGAGGGAGTAACAGTCTGAAGGTAGGGCGGGAGTGCGTTTTCAAGACTCGTCGCTCCTTCCGAGCTTGCCGTAAGCGAAAGAGAAAAGGTATATGTAGCCTGTCGCACAGATTCAGTCCAAAATAAAAACTCTTTGATATTCTCTTGTGCGCCACCCTCGAGTCTGTTCCGAAAATATACCGTGTCGGACAAAATGGATCGATTGCAAGTACCTTGGGCTCCTTAAAGCTTGCGATGGGGATAAAGACCTCCCCAAGTGCCTCATCCTTCTTCCCTCCCATGTCTCTGTCGAGGAGGGACACCTGTCATGGCACAAACGCCAAACGGTTCCCAAGCGTCGCGCGTGTGTGTTGTTGTTGATATTTATGTTTAGTGCCATCTACGTTCTGCGCGCCAGCCTACAACGTCTTGTGTGTACGTTTGACGAATTAATTAGCCAGGGTCAACACAGGAGGGAGGCAGCCCTGAGAAATAATGTGTTACCCTACCTTCCCCGCCTACAGATTTTTATCTCTTCAAACTGTGCACCAGTGGGACACCCCTTCACAGCAGTCTTGGCTCCGAACAATCGAAGCCGAACGATTCTGGATCAATATACAGCAGGCGAGGTCTTAACTTAATCCAGCAAACACCGGCCGGGGTCACAAGGGAGTTTTTCGTGAAAAGGAATCACACCTCCCGAAGACGCGACGCTACTTACCACATGTGCCCCTACATCCACGACAACCAACCGGAAGCACAATAACGCCCTTCATGCTGTTTTCAGAGTAGAAAAAACACTGCCCTTGAATCGGGTAGCCGGCACTGCAATCAATACCCTCAACTGCTGTGACTGCACCGTGCGGGGCACCATGCTCCTGAAACAAAAATATTTGGTGTCTTGAAAGAGCGGGCAGTGTTCCCAAACTCTCAACATATCCTTACAGCGGGTAAACGACTACAGTCCTGCAAAGCAGCCGACAATAAAAAACGTGAGCATCCGCTGCTGTACCTATAATCGGTGTCCTTTCTTCGACAGTGGGTAAGCGACCAGTCCCGTCAAGCAGCCAACATGGAAAAACGTAAGCATCCACTGCTGTACCTAGGTGTCCTTCCAGACTATGGGTAAACGACTACAGACCTGTAAAGCAGCCTCTACTGTTGTCGAAAAATACCTACCTTGACGCCCTTGACATCCTCAGGGGTGCACCAGCGGCAGAGCTCAAACGCCTCCTGCCATTCCTCGGGTCGTTGCCTAGCCGCCCCCCTCCGCCACGTCGTCTCCCCTTTCTCAGAAGTCACCTTTTTTTTTTGAAACGGAAAAAAAAAACGTTTTTTGGGGTTTCCTAGCCCGACCCGTGGGCGAAGCAGAACCCTGCTGCTGCTGGTACACGTTAGTTGGCAACAGAACAATGGGAAGGTCGGCGATAACAAGCGGGGTCGAGATGGACAATGACAAAGACAGAACACTAAACAACGCCGTGCACGCACGAATGCATGCGTACGTACGTATGCATATACTGCTGTTCTTCTTCGCCCCCCCCCACCGCCCCCCCCGGTGTTTGCCATCGGGGTTGGGTTTTCGTCGCTTGGCAACGACGTTGTAAAACAAGCCAAGTCACATCGTGAACTCGGCAACCAGGTTACCGTTTCTTTTTTGTACCTCTGTTTTTTTGTGGCGGTAACCATAATGGTGGTCGAGTAGATCATGTTGTGCGGGGTNCACAAGATGCCGAAAACCCTGTACAGGATGCAGCGCACCCTTCATGCGACTCGCCGAATACCTCACGGCGCTTCGCGCTTGGTGATGTGAGAGCCTGGTCCGGTGAAAACCCGGCGTGCTCCGTCCCGCCTTTGTAGGGATGCGAGGTCAATGGTCTAACGACTACGGCATGCACGACTATGACTACCCCCCCCGCCCCCCTGCCTAGAAATCCTTCAAACGACCGCGTTTTATCTGACACGTCGACCCCATTAGCCCCTTGGGTGTGCTGTTCATCTTTATGTGTCATCTCTCGAGTCGACGAAGCCAACGTGATGTGTGACCCTCTTTGAAGGCCATGTTCCCCCACACGTACCTCCGAACCGTCATGGCGAACCGGGACAACAATGCAGTACGGGTCCGACACGCCCGTAACGTCGCTCGAGACAAGACCTCTGGCCGAGTGCAACACCAGCCGCAGGCGGCGAAGGTTGCCCGATATGTCCTGGTGGGGAAGACGGTTTAAAAAACGAAAACGGGAGGGGGTGGGGGCATGGTGCAGTGTTCGTGCTGGCGCCACTCGCCACAAGTCTAATACACGCGACGTGCTTTTAGTCTGCGACAACATCAATCGCGCGTAGAACAAGTCAAAATGATCGCCCGCGACACTCCCCTGTTGCACGCCAGTCAAGTTCTCTGTATTCAAGGTCAGGATCTGCCTTCGAAGACAACATCTACGTACGGTAACACGCTAGGCACGCCTCCAAAACACACAAAATCATTTTTCGCGCACGGATCAGTTTGACCCGCACGGACGTTGGAAGGTACTCAGCAGAGACGGGAAAGGTTTGCAATGTCAACACAACAACAACATCAATCCTTACCCTTACCAAGGTCTGTGTGTACTGAGCGGAGACCGGAACCGTTTTGAACGTAAGGGCAACAACAGCAATCCTTACCAAGGTCTGTGTGTACTGAGCGGAGACCGGAACTGTTTTGAACGTAAAGGCAATAACAGCAATCCTTACCAAGGTCTGTGTGCACTTAGCGGAGACCGGAACGGTTTTGAACGTGATCACAACAACAACAACAACAACAACGCTTATCCTTACCAAGGTCTCGGTGTAGTCCTTCCCGCTCGTGAGAGACGCGAACGGGATGAACGACTCGCCGATCTGCGAGTCTTGATACGCCACCCGGTGCGACAAGCAGCAGATGCGGGCGCCTCCTCCCGGGGACATCGCCTCCGCCTCGGAGACCGCAAACCTTGTTTGAGGGTGGGGGGCAGGAGGAAGGGGACGGGGACGGGGACGGGGACGGGGCTTTCCGTCGTTCGTTGCTTGCAATTGTCATGAGGGATTCACGGAGCCCCCTATTCGAGACGGAGCAACACTGCTGCTGTTCCTACATGCATGCTGTATGTACCCTGCAGACGACACATAGCAAGCGTTACGCAACCGCCTTGTCCGTAGGACCCCCTCCCCCGAGAGCCGGTGGCAAAACAAACCTATGGTGTAACAATATACATAAAGAATCGAGAGTGCGATATGGCATGTATGTATCATTTGGTCGGTCGGTCGGTCGGTCGGTCGGTCGGTCGGTCTCACGTGCAGCGGTGGTTCCAGAAGGGGGTGCCTCCCGTCGCGACCTTCGTCCTGCTCTTCTCGCCGCCGGCCTCCACTCGACAGTACGTTTGAAGCTTGCCTCCAGCCCTTGCAGATGTAGAAACGTTTAATGTTGCCGGGTTTGAGTTGACAGGGCAGACCTTTCATGTGAAGTAATGTTTCATGTTGCCGGGTTTGTGTTGGCAAGGGTTGAGCAGTAGAAGAGGGGAGAGGATATGGCAACAAGAAGAGAAGATGAGCACAGCAGTAAGGGATGCAGTGCTGTGGTGCTTTATGAACGGGACACGCCAACTGCTGTACCACGTCGTTTCGCCTCAAACAGTAGCTCAGACGCAAAATACCACGTCGTTTCGGCTCAAGCCGTCACACACAAACAGGAGCAGGAGGCACACAAAGGGGGGAGAGGACTGAGACTGATTTCACCTCCGTTGCACATTCCTTTCATTCCTCCGTTGGTTTTCTTGTCGAACTCACTCAAGACGGTTACGGTCCATTAACTTTGTCATTCACAAAACAGAGTATGCCCCCCCTCCCCCTCCCCCGGTGACTGGCCCGATGAGAACCCGGCATGCCGGCGTGCTCCGTCCCGATCGTGCTCCGTCCCGATGCGAGGTCACTGGTCTAACGACTACGGCATGCACGACTATGAGTACACCCCCCCCCCCCCCCCCCCCCCCACCC